ACTTCACGTCGTCCAATGATAAATACGTTCGGCGACATACACGTGCGGCCCGGTTTTCTGACAACTGGCAGCATAAGCTGTACATACGTGTCACAATCGATTGGGACACTTTCTTTGAGAAAGTGTCCAGCGCGGAATGTACCCTTAGGGTTAGTACTTGTACTCAGTTTGATGTCAATGCAATCATCCCTGCTCGTTAGTTTCTGACATGGTTTAAGAGCAGTAGGTCTGTAGGACCGTTTATTTTTTCGGGCCCACCATTACCTAGTGACCGACTGCAGTTACCACGTTACCACACGCCCTGCCCTGCGCTGCGCCGTCAGCGCGCGCCCTGCCCTGCCCTGCCTTGCGTCGCGCTGCCCTGCGCACGCCCTGCATTGCGTCACGCTGCCTCGTGCACGCCCTGCCCTGCCTTACGTCGCGCTGCCCCGCGCACGCCTTGCCCTGCCTTGCGTCGCGCTGCCCTGCGCACGCCCTGCCTTCGTCCAGGGACAGGGCCGCGAGCGATACTTTCTGCTGGTTGTTGACGACTACTCGCGTCACACCACGGTCTTCCCCTTGCGCAGCAAGGGATGGGTCCCTGATGTCTTGATCCCTTGGATCCGCACTGTCTGTCTCTTCCGCGAGAAGTTCGACGGATCTTCCGTCCTGCGTCTGCACTCTGACAGAGGTGGTGAGTTCTCCTCCGACCTCTTGCGGGAATTTTGTCGTGGGGAGGGCATCACCCAGTCGTTCACGCTTCCGGCCTCTCCGCAGCAGAATGGGGTTGCTGAGCACCGCATTGGCCTAGTCATGGAGGTCGCTCGTACCTCCATGATCCATGCAGCTGACCCCCATCTTCTATGGCCGTTTGCTGTCCGGTACATTGCGCATCAGCTCAACCTCTTGCCCCGTGTCTCCTTGCCAGAGACCTCGCCGATACTGCGTTGGACGGGAGAGGTTGGTGATGCGTCAGTGTTCTGGGTCTGGGGATCTCGTTCCTTTGTTTGCGATACCTCCGCGGACAAGCTCTCCGCCCGCGCCGTTCCCTGTGTCTTCCTTGGTTTTCCCCCTGACGCACCTGGCTGGCAGTTTTACCACCCCACCTCGCGCCGTGTTCTGTCCTCTCAGGACGTCACGTTTGACGAGTCGGTTCCCTTTTACCGTCTCTTCCCCTACCGCACTGCCCCTCCCCCCCTCCGGTAGACCCCCTCCCCCCTCAGGGTCCTGCTCCTTCAGATGTGTCTCAGGTAGACCCACTCCCCTTGGTTGAGCCTGTCGAGGTCAGTGGTGACTCTGGTGCTGCTGGGGGTGCTGAGCCTGCGCGTGCTGAGCCTGAGCGTACGGAGCCTGGGGGTGCTGAGCCTGTGCGCGAGGAGCATGGGGGAGCTGAGCCTGCAGTTGCGGAGCCTGAGCGTGAGGAGCCTGGAGGTGTTGAGCCTGCGAGTGCGGAGCCCAGGGGTGCTGCGTCTGAGCGTGCGAAGCCTGGGGGTGCTGAGCCTAAGCGTGTGGAGCCTGGGGGTGCTGAGTCTAAGGATGCTGAGCCTAGGGGTTCTGCGTCTACACTATGGGAGCCTTTCTCACCACAACAGTTGTGCGAGTGGTACGCTAGGTGCTGTAGCCTTCGGAGTGGCACTGCTAGAGCTGAAGGCCCTGGAGCTGCTAGTCCTGGAGGTGCTGGAGGTACTGCTGGTACTGGAGGCACTGGAGATGGTGGAGTTACTAGTCCTGGAGGTCCCACTGGTGCCTCGCCCGAGTGGTCTAGCCGGCGGGAGCCTCTCTCACCATAGCAGTTGCGCGAGTGGTACGCTCAGAGCTGTAGCCTTCAGAGTGGCACTGCTGGGGCTGGAGGCCTTGGAGCTGCTAGTGCTGGAGGTGCTGGAGGTGCTGGTGGTGCTTGCACTGCTGGTCCCGGGGGTGCTCGTGTTGGTGGCACTGGAGCTGACGGAGCTGGTGGTGCTGCTAGTGCTGGAGGTGCTGGAGGTAGTGGAGTTTCTGGAGCTGCTGGAGCTGTTGGTGGTGCTGCTGCTCGAGGTGCTGGAGCTGCTAGTCCCGGAGGTTCTCGTACTGGAGGTACTGGAGCTGTTGGAGCTGGTGGTGGTGGTGCTACTGCTGGAGGTGCTGGAGCTACTAGTCCCAGAGGTGCTCGTCCTGGAGGCACTGGAGCTGCCGAAGCTGGTGGTGCTACTGCTACTGGAGGTGCTGGTGCTGGAGGAGCTGGTACTGGTGGTGCTGCACCGCCGCGTATGTTCTTCACTCCGCCGTCACTGTCGTCTCTGCTGCCGCCTGGCTCGGTGCTTCGCCAGGTTCTTGGTCTCCCGTCTTCTACTGGTCTCCTGTTACAGCCAGGCTCCCCACTGCTTGCTCCCTCTCCTTACACTGAGCAGACAAGAGGTCTTACTGAGCGTCGTGAGCCTGCGTCTCGTCCTGCCTAGCCTGTTCGCTCTGTTCGCACTGGTCACCGTGTTCCTCGTGAGCGTCCTCCTCCTGTCCCCGACACGCACACTATGGCACTTCGTCCTTCCTCTGTTCCACAGCGTGTTCTTCTGCCGTCTCCTCCTGCGTCCTCTCTTCCGCACGTTCCGGACCCTGAGTCTGACCTGGTTCGTGCTGCCAGTCCTACTTTATGCTTCTTCTGGCCATTGTTGTCACTGACCCTTCGTTTGAGTCTGCTGCTGCGTCTACCTTAGTCGCTGAGCTTGTTGACTTTGCTGCTGCTTGTCGTCGCGACTACGCCGCCAGTCTTGTTGCTGAGTCTGAGTCTGTCTTTCCTCCGTCCGTCGGGGGTGAGTGTGCTCTTCGCACGAACGTCCTCGAGGACAGGCAGGAGGACTTTGAGTGTCTTGCAGCCGCTGCACCTCATCTCGTGGCCATGCTGCTTGCCCCTGAGGGAGACCCGGATGCACCAGATATCCCGACCCCGCGCTCTTACGCTGAGGCGATCGCGGGTGAGTACTCCTCTCAGTGGCAGACAGCCATGGACGCAGAGATGGCATCCTGGAAGTCCACAGGCACCTACGTTGACGCAGTTCCCCCTCCTGGGGCGAACGTAGTCGATGGCATGTGGATTTTCAGGGTGAAGCGGCCACCGGGTTCTCCGCCTGTCTTCAAGGCTCGTTACGTTGCACGAGGCTTCAGTCAGCGACAGGGAGTTGACATCTTCCATACCTTCTCCCCTACCCCGAAGATGACCACTCTTCGGGTGCTGCTGCACATTGCCGCTCAGCATGACTACGAGCTTCACTCTCTTGACTTCAGCACAGCTTTCCTACAGGGCAGCCTACACGAGGAGATATGGGTGCGCCATCCACCTGGCTTCACTTGGTCGTTCCCTGCAGGTACCCAGTGGAGCCTTCAACGACCAGTTTACGGTCTCTGCCAACCGCCTTGTCATGCTTTTAGCAGTAGGAATAGAAGATAGAAGAAACAATACAAAAGCAAGACAAATTACAGTAGCGTGTAGTGCTGTAGAGAAGCAGGCGGGAGACAAAGATGCATTCGGCAGAGAATTGTGCCGAAGTAGCGAAAAGTAAATTACCGTTGCTTAGCAGCGGTAACCAGAAGAAGATACTTAGGCAAGCAACAAGGTCAGAGTCACTTGCTTGCTTGTTTGTTGAAAGTTACTAGTCAGGACTAATCCACTAGCTCATCAGGATTGGGAAACGCTGGGCCAAGGACTCAAGGCATGAAGAGAGAACTGGGGAACATAATGGGGTGAAGGGGGAGACAGGCCTAGAGAAAGCATCACTAAAAAGGGCCGACATAGGAAGAGAAGTAAGGAGGAGGAGAGAGATTCCGACAGCCTCACGAGTGGCACGACACACAGAGGGCGACACTTGCGGCACTTGGGTTTGCCCCTTCGAGTGCAGACCCGTCGCTGTTTCTCCGCGCAGACACTTCGCTGCCGCCGTTCTACATCCTCGTGTACGTCGATGACTTGGTTTTTGCCACTGCTCATACTGAGGCACTCGCCCTTGTGAAGTCGGAGTGGCAGAAGAGACACACGTGCATAGACCTAGGTGAGCTGCGCAGCTATCTTGGCTTGCAGATCACTCGGGACAGAGCACGGCGCACCATCACCCTGACTCAGTCACACATGGTGCAGCAGGTCCTTCAGCGCTTCAGCTTCACTTGGTCCTCGCCACAATCCACTCCTCTGGCTACCGGTCACTCGCTCTCAGCTCCACCTTTGGACGAGTCCGTAGAGCCGAGTGGTCCATACCCAGAGCTAGTGGGCTGCCTCATGTACCTGATGACCTGCACTCGTCCTGACCTTGCGTACTCTCTTGGCATTCTGACATGCTACGTGGCTCCTGGTAGGCACCGAAAGGTGCGAAGAGGGTACTGCATCACTCTCTCCCCCTCGCCATCCCTTTCCCCTTGTACTCACCCATCTCTCCCCCTGTTTACTCTCCATTCCCCTTCGTTCAAACCTTTTCCACCCCCAAGTCCTCTCATTTCCCCTGTTCGCACCCCTCCTTAGCCCTTGCTTACTTGCTTTCTCCTTTGCTCACCCCCTTCTCCACCCTGCTCACTCTTTTTCCCCTTTTGCTCACCCCCTTCTCCACCCTGCTCGCTCCCTTTCCCCCTTTGCTCAACCCTCTGCCTTGTCCACTCCTCCCATACATGCCCTTCTGTACCTCCACCTCCACCCCTCGCTTATTCTGCCATATCCCCTCTTCGCTCCCTGTTCCATCACAGAACCATGCTTGCACAGGTGCCCAGCACCATGGATCGTGGCCTGACAGGAATGGGTTGAAATGTTCCACCTCCTAGCTGTGTGCATGTGCCTATAGTCCACTCTTGGAAACCTTTTTGGAAATATAGCTTGCTTTGTTGCACTTCCTTGTAATGGTCATGTGCCTTTCTGCTCCAAAACACAAAGTTGTGTATTACGAGAAGCATCCAACATCAATATATGACAGCTATTTGTCATACGGTACCACTATCATCAAACAACAAACACATCACAACTGGATGCATGGCAGACCTGCACACACGCGAACCACATCTCGGATGTGTCAAAGTTGAAGCAGCGGGAAAGGATACAAAACAATGACAATGGAAGGGCAACGGCGGTAGGGAACAAGGAATGCACGGAGGGAGAAAATGAGCAAGGGGGACATAGAGGAAGGGCGGAAGGGGGGGGAAGATGAAGAGTGGTTGTAAGGTGGGAGAGAGCGGGGAAAGGCACTGAGCCAGAAAATTGGGAGAGGGAATAGATGAAGAAAGGAAGGGGGTGGGAGAGGACGACGTTGGGTAGATGGGTGGAAGGGAGGGAGGAAGGAAGAAAGGGAGGATGGGAGGATGAGAGGAAGGGAGTAGGAGGGTGGGAGATGGGAAGGGGAAGGGGACAGGATCGAGAGAGGATGAGGAGATGGGAGAATGGCAGGAAGGGGACGGGAGGAAGGGAGGGAGGATGACGCATCTACCCTGTCGATGCATCTACCCATACCCAAGCTACCCCCCTGTCGATGCATCTCCCCATGCCCAAGCAACCCCCCTGTCGATGCATCTCCCCATACCCAAGCTACCCCCCTGTCGATGTATCTCCCCATACCCAAGCTACCCCCCTGTCGATGTATCTCCCCATGAGAGAGGCGGAGGATGAGAGAGGCGGCGGAGGTGAGAGAGGCGGAGGTGAGAGAAGCGGAGGGTGAGAGAGGCGGAGGGTGAGAGAGGCGGAGGGTGAGAGCGGCGGAGGATGAGAGAGGCGGAGGATGAGAGAGGTGGAGGGTGAGAGAGGCGGAGGATGAGAGAGGCGGAGGATGAGAGAGGTGGAGGGTGAGAGAGGCGGAGGGTGAGAGAGGCGGAGGATGAGAGAGACGGAGGATGAGAGAGGCGGCGGAGGTGAGAGAGGCGGAGGTGAGAGAAGCGGAGGGTGAGAGAAGCGGAGGGTGAGAGAAGCGGAGGGTGAGAGAGGCGGAGGGTGAGAGAGGCGGAGGATGAGAGAGGCGGAGGATGAGAGAGGTGGAGGGTGAGAGAGGCGGAGGGTGAGAGAGGCGGAGGATGAGAGAGGCGGAGGATGAGAGAGGCGGAGGTGAGAGAGGCGGAGGGTGAGAGAAGCGGAGGGTGAGAGAAGCGGAGGGTGAGAGAGGCGGAGGGTGAGAGAGGCGGAGGAATTATGTTGGGCGCCGAAGGTGAGAGAGGCGGAGGTGAGAGAGGCGGAGGATGAGAGAAGCGGAGGGTGAGAGAAGCGGAGGGTAAGAGAGGCGGAGGGTGAGCGAGGCGGAGGGTGAGAGAAGCGGAGGGTGAGAGAGGCGGAGGGTGAGAGAGGCGGAGGATGAGAGAGGCGGAGGATGAGAGAGGCGGCGGAGGTGAGAGAGGCGGAGTGTGAGAGAGGCGGAGGTGAGAGCGGTGGAGGTGAGAGAGGCGGAGGGTGAGAGAGGCGGAGGGTGAGAGAGGCGGAGCGTGAGAGAGGCGGAGGGTGAGAGAGGCGGAGGATGAGAGAGGCGGAGCGTGAGAGAGGCGGAGGTGAGAGAGGCGGAGGTAAGCGAGGCGGAGGTGAGCCAGGTGCTTTCGCCTGCCCACGCGATCCCCCCTGCCCATGCACCTCCGCCTGTTTGTAGGTCGCATTGCCTTTGCAGGGCAAATCGTGACCTAATGTCGCCGTCGCGTTGCCCTGCAGGGCAAATCGTGACCTAATGTCGCCGTCGCGTTGCCCTGCAATGCAAATGACCTAAATGCGACGTCGCATAGCTCTGCAGGTCGAATCGTGGCCATCGGTCTGCTAACGTCACAACGCACAACTACATTTCCGGTAATGTCGGTTTCCGCGACTTTATCTCTCCCATACCTTTTGTAGTTCGTGATTAGCGTGCGCCCGCTTGTCGGTATGTTGGCTAGTTGGCGGGCTACGCGGGTCTAATAGTGGGTCCTAGAACTCACGAATAATCAGTAGCGTTTTTGGGACAAGTTTCTCTTGTCTGTGTGCCTCATGTTTACGCAGGTTGGTGTTGGGCGATGTGCCGTGCGATGAAACCCAACTGGGCATTTGTCGCTGCTACAGTGTTCTAGTTTGGCGAATGTTCAGGACCAGGTTTGTGTGTTTCAAAAGTTTGCCTCCGCTGGAAAACGGGTAACACCCAACCAACCTTAGGAAGCAGTTTCGTGCTTCTTGACCCTCCGGTTTTAAGCAAAGGCACAAAACTAGTAATTTTCTTCATGGTTGGGTTGGGGGTGGTGAGAGAAGCAGGTAAGCTAGGGTGCGGGGGGGGGCAAAGCAGGGAGGAGAAACGGGGTGGGCTGGGGGGAGTTTCGGGTGGAACACGGTGGGTTTGACTTTTACTCCGTTTGACTTTGCAGCAGGTGGGCTAGGGGGGGGGGGGGGGCGAAGCAGGGAGGGGAGAAACGAGGTGGTTTGGGGGGAGTTTCGGATGGAATGGTGGGTTTGACTTAGTCCGTTTGACTGTGCTGTGCCGCGTGGGAATGATTCTGCTTCGCGCTCGTGATTGGCGGTGTTACTGCTACATTGCGCTAGGACTGCGGAAATCATGCACTCGCTGGTTTCAGTGTGCGCACCTAATACAGGGATGAGTGATCAGCCTACACTCATCCAAAAAAGCTGAAAAATCAGCCTAGGTACACACAAAAAAACTTTGGAATCAGCCTAAGGTAATAAAAAAAGCCTGATTTAATGCTGAATCAGCGTAAAAAGGCTGATAACTAGGGCCCTGGGGACCAGCATGTGGGCTGGGGGTAGGGGTGAGAGAGGAACCCTGGGCTGAGGGGAGAAGCGGGGTAGGCCGAAGGAGAGCCGAGAGGAAGTGGGGGGCTGAGGGGGAGTTCAGAGTGGAGAAGTGGGCTAGGGGGAGATTCAAGTGAATGAAGTGGGCTGGGGGGAGATTCGAGTGAATGAAGAGGGCTGGGGGGAGATTCGAGTGAATGAAGTGGGCTGGGGGGAGATTCGATTGAATAAAGTGGGTTGGGGGGAGATTCGAAAGAAACACGTGGGCTGGGGGGAGATTCGTATGAAAGTGGTGGGTCGAGGGGAGGGACAAGCGAAAGAAGGGGGACACTGTGGGGGACGCTGGGGAATATTCGATTTCCTGCCCGTGATTGACGGTGTCTACACTTCGCCAGGCTGGCAGAAATCACTGTAATGTCGGTTTTAGTGTGCACCCCCTACAAGGCTGAGTGCTCAGCCCATGTTAAAACAGGTAAGGTATTAAAAAACACTGAAAAATCAGCCCAAGGTACATAACAAAAAACTTTGGATTCAGCATATTGTAAAAAACAATAGCCTGACATAACGCTAAATCCGCGTAAAAAGGCTGATAACTAGGGCCCTGTTGAGCAGCCAGGAGGAGCGAAGGTCTGGGTGAATAGAAGGGGTCCTGTCAGCGTAAAAAACGAGGAAGCATAGTAGGGTGGCCAACTTACTAAGAGAGGTCGAGTGTTGTTCTTCTTCCTCCGCCAAAGGAAGATTTTAAAGGCGGGGAGGAACTGTGCCAAGATGACTTGGAGAATCTCGAACCGGGAGGAGAGGCCGAGAGCGAAATTTGGGGGGGGGGGGGGGGGGGGGGGAGAAAGGCGTGACCGGGAAAGCAAGAGTAGGGGAGGAGTCAGAGTCTTGCGTGGGATGAACCACTCTCCTAAGGTTGCCAAAGGGGGAGGAGGGGAGCGGTGGGCTGCCATCGGGGCTTGGGGATAGCATGAATACGATTCCGCCACACTTTCCATCTAGAAAAAGAGTTGGCGGGGGGACACAAGGAGGTGAAATATGCAAAAGGGATCTAATCAACTGAGTTGGACCTAGTTAAGACCAAATGACCCACACAAACCTACATGAAGATAAGGAGAAGTTTGTGCAGAGGAATTCCAAATGGCTTTTCATTTGGTTTGAGAATGCAACGGTTGAAGGTGGTAGGCCCAGCCATTATGCACAGGGGGTCAAGGAGAGGTGGGGCAACACCTGGAGCGATCCCTCGACGGTTCAGACTTGTTGCGGTCCACCTTAGCCTCTCGGTTCCGGCTGTCCCTCGCTCTCCCACTTTCGCCACGTTCGGTTCCACCCTTCCCGCCCTCAGTTTTTGTTATCTCAGTGCTTGCCTCCATTTTCACTCACTTCAACTCTCCTTCCCTCTCATTACCCTACTCCCTGCCCAGCCCCCTCTCGCTCGTCCCTTGCGCCCGCTCTGCCTGTCCCCCGACCTTAGTCCGCCCCCCTCTCCCCCTTCCCATCACTCTGTTTTTAGCTCTCCTTACTTCAACACTACGTTTGGTCTTATGCCTGCCACATCACCCCTCTCAACCAGTTTTCATCCTTTTTCCACGCCCTGCCTCTTTCATCCCTTTTCTGATCACGCTACTCCTCTTTCCCTTCCCTCAACCCTTCTTAGCCCCTGGTTCTCCTCTCTCTTCCATTCTTACGATTAGCTATATATTGAATGTTACCTCTCTCCCCTAACAAAAAAAACTCACCCCTTGCCGTCTCCCCCGTGCGTCCGACTTCCGCCTCCCCGATCCCTTCCTTCCAGCCTCTCTCCGCCTCCCTCCCACCCCGACTTTTTCAAGAAAAATTTTGGGAACCCTTGTCGTCCGCATCGCTTTTCGCAATGGCCTTGGCCTCCTCTTCATCGATTTGGATGCCGATGTTGAACTCTCGACTTGCTCGCTTTGCGAGTTCATCTACGGCCTGCCCTCAACAGCGCCATAACGCACCTCCACTCCAACCGCCACTCCTCCCGCGTGAAGGCCATGGCTTACTGGTCGCCTCCAAGGGAAACTTTGGCCCTTGGCGCGCTCTTGCTGCAGAAGACTCAAGTGGCAAAGTTTCTCAGTGGCTGAATGTATGAGACTGGCTATATCCTTCCTCTGGTCGTCCTCTCTTGTTTCATTTCTTCATATTCATTTTAAGTATCTTACGACGTATTTTGTGAACTTTTCTCTATGTATGAAGATATTGTTGTCCTGTTGCTTGGAACCAGAGCTCTTACTCCCCTATTACTGCTTACCCGCCTCAAAAGCAAAACGTTTCCCTCAGTCTCACCCGTAACACCCCACTTCACACTGCACTTCCTATTTATCAACCTCATTCATCTCGTAGCGTCAACCCCGTTAAAGCCGTCAGCCCAAATTGCACAAGTTTTTAAAAGATGACGAGAGGGAGTTTTACTGGTTTGGGTTTTGGCGAGTGTTTCCTATTTCGTCAAATTCGTTTTTTTCGCCCAACCTAGCCAGCCCCCACGTTTTTACCCTAGCGGGTGTGTCAGACTTCGAAAGGCCCAAATTGCAGCTACTCTAATTTTCAAAGCTTGCACAACCCACTTTGTCAAGTTTTAAAAACTTGACCTGCGCGGTCCGCAATTTGGGCCGCGGGCTTTAATGTGGTCCCAACCAGCCCGGTGGATACGCGGGCAGACCCCCACTCCCACATGCTAACATTCTTGCCAGGCCCTCAGATATCAGGGTTTTTTTTTCCCAAAAGTCATGATTTTCAGCCTTATTTTTTGTACCTACACTGATTTTTCAAACTTATCATTTTAGGGACTCTGATTTTCCAGCCTTAAATTCATAGTTGACACTGATTTTTCAGTCTTTTACCAAAGTGTACACTGAATGCACATTCCGAATCCTTTCTGCAAAACACCCGAGAGTATCAGTCCTCCACCATTTCCACATTGTAAATAGTGAAATATGTAAAAAGCTGACAGCTGGCAGATTATACTGTCTTAGTTTTGCAACTCTAGTTTGGTGCTATAACTATAATAAAATATAGGAAAGCACCTAACCAAGGAAATCAAGCAAAAGCATGCATGATAAAATGAACCTAAGCTAGATAAAACATAATAAAGTCAAGGCAAGCAAGTACTGCCTAGCAAAGCCATCGTACTCTCACAAGGTCCCCTGGTGTTGCGTCGGAATTTCGTATCTGGGGCTGCCTTGCGCATGTCCGCGATACATCTGCAGATAAGCTCTCGGCTCGCACCCTTCCCTGTGTCTTCCTTGGTTTCCCGGTGGACGCCCCTGACTTCGCGTTTTACCACCCGCCCCTCACCGGTTCCTCGACTCCCTGACGAGTCAGTTTCCCTACACGCTTGCTACCCCCACCGAGGTTTACCGGTTCCCTCCCCTCCCCTATTCCTAGCTCCCACTCCGTCGCTCCCACTCCTCCTGGTCCTGCTCCTCCGGTACACCCCCCCCCACCCAGGTCCTGCCCCGTCAGGTGTGTCTCACGCTACCCCTCTCCCCTCAGTAGCACGCCAGGTGTCATCTCCTTCCCCACAGTCATCCTGACAATCACATGAGCAGCCTTCTGCACTTCCGCGAGAGGTTGCAGTAGACTCTAGGGGTGTTGGTGCTGGAGGCACGTGCGCTAGAGGTGTTGGTTCTGAGGGTGCTGGAGGTGCTAGTTTTGGGGGTGCTGGAGCTGGAGGTGTTGGTACTGGAGGTGCTAGTTCTGGGGATGCTGGAGCTCGAGGTGCTGGCATTGGAGGTGCTAGTTCTGGGGGTGCTAGAGTTGGAGGCACTACCTCTACAACGCCTGTTCAGCCTCCCCACCACTACCCGGCGCGTCACCAGGCTCTTCGACAGTGTGAGCGCGAGGAGCATGAGCAGTTGGCACAGGAGCGGCT